GTACTGTTGCATGCAGTGCATCTTTCTTTGTAGTGGAGTTTCTAATCTTTTTTGTGAAGTAATAAGAAACTTTATTCTTAATCTGGCATTCAGCTAATAAATTAGAAGCTAATAACAAAAAAAAGTGTAAAAGATTCAAAAGAACATAAGACAGATAAGAGTTAAAGGCATCTTCTTTCCATCGCAATCAAACAAAGAAAAGAAGAGTGATCTTTGTGTTTCTCTAATCATGTGATATTAATTAAACGGCCTTCAACTTCTATAATAAGACAGGTGTTTGATATACACTGGGGACCGCAATTATTCAAGAAGGTTTATTTTCGATTTGTTCCATTACTGTAAACACTAGAAAGAATCCAAATAGTAGTTCGAATGGAGGAAATTGTTTCCAAGAAAAATATAAGGAAATAAAAATTATTATTTGCTTGGCAAAGATAGAAATTCCAGAAAACCAAAATGCCGATTTTTCAGTACCTAGAATGCATAAATATAATTTTGTTTAGACTATGTAGAACGATAGAGTAAGTTATTGTCTATAATATGAAACGTCTTAGGGTTCTCTATGACATTTTTCAGCTGAGATAAAGCAATCATCTGAAAGTCTCTAACGTGGTTTCTTTTACTATTTCCTATGGAAAAGTCATTTTTTGACCTTCAATCAAGTCACTCTATGTCAACCACAAACATTCCATTCTGTAGAGGATAGTTTACTCTAGCGTTCTATGAAATTTCAATAAAACTATACTTACGCGTTCCAGATGCTGAAAAACTAGCTTTTTGGTTTTCTGGAGTCTCTCTTTTTGGAAATCTGGCAATCATTTTTATTTCGTTATATTCTTGTTGGAAACCATTTTCTCTATTCCAAACATTTATTTGAACACCTTCTAATGCCTACGGCAGCGGAAAAAAATCAAAATAAACCTTCTTCACGAATTTTGGTACTCACTCTGTGTCACAAAAGTATAGGTATACCGATAGAATAAAAACAAAATTCTAGCACTAGGCATCAGTTTTTCCATATTAACCATCACAATAGAGACGTATCAGGGGAACCAATTGCACCCTATCACTTCGCTGGTGTGCCGCCTAGGAGTTGAGCAGAGCTAAACCCCTCGACACATTAGAGGGCCAGAGATCATTTATTTTTTCTTAACGTTCATTAGTTAGAAAGTTATCTTTTATCAAATCTCTAGAAAAAGTTATATTTTTTGGTAGTTTGGCCGACAATTTTTTTGTTTCCATTCATGTTTATGTAATATATCGTTAGTAAACAAGTTCTTTTCATTTATTCGACATGTGTAGAATGAGATAGAAACAGACAATATCCTCTGAAGAAAAGAAAGACAATTGTTCGTAAGAAGAGTGTTCTTAGAATAATACAGTCAACATATCCAAGCATCTTGGTACAATGTCAAACAGTACTTCTTTTTTGGAAAGAGGATTAGATTTTTTTTTGTCAGACTTATTTAAGTCAGTTGTTCATATTGAGGTTTGAATAGTATAGATGGAATTCCTTTACAGTAGAAGTTAGTACTATCATCGCTATTAGTTCGAAGCGAATTCGAATGAATACAGTTGTCTGTGAAGAAGCAGCTTATAGAAAAATCACAGTTAAATATACATTCAATATTTTTTGTTTGTTTCGAAAAATGACTTAAGATCTTTCTTCGAAAAGAAATGCAATCTGAAGCTCAGAAGAAATACTTTATAGAACAAATTCCGACTTATATACCTGAATGTATATTGTATTCAACTATGAATGCACTGTTTTGTGAGAAAAAGCTTTTTGAATGTCTAAAAGAATGTGTCAAGGTGATGAGACCTTTGAATTAATATCGAATGGGATTTTAACAGATATGTTCCTATTTTAGTAAGATTTTTTCATGTGTGACTCGTGCGAATGTACACGGCGTTAATTAGGTTTTATGATGATGGGAACGCTTTTTTTTTTTATATAGAGAACCTAAAGAATTTTTCAGAGTATGATGCAAAAGAGCTCTCATCTGATTCCATGATATGTTTTCAATAGAGAAACACATTTTTCAATAGACTAGTTATTCTTTCTTATTAGCCGTTCCTCCTCAAGGTGTTTCTACTAACTTGTAACTGGCACGTCGTCGTGATAACAGAAGCAAAATATTGCCTATAGTGAACTTAAATAGTGTTATGAACATATTTAAATACTTGGAAATAAATCAATACGTTGCTGAAGTTATTTTAAAAAAGCTTTTCATCGCAGCTCCTTTGTGGCTGAAATGTGGAACTCACATATATTCTCTAGTCTCATTGAACTAATACAAAATACTTAAACTGAAAAATTTCTTGCAGATTATACTTGTTTTGCAGGATAATCGATCACTAGAGTAACGACTTCTCTAATTTTTGCATTCCGAACAGAAAGTATTGATTTTTTCTATGGATGCTCTATTTTGTTTTTTGCATTGTCGCTATTTGCTCATTATTTTTCATTCTGTTAATTCTTTTTTCTTAATTTAACATTCGGATTATTACTGTTTTACGTATCCATAAAATCTACAGCAGTTCTTATGCACTAAAGCATATTAATCAATTAATAAACAATGATATTCATTATTTTTTCAAAATTTAACTTCATCGATTTTGCAAAAAAACTCTGAAAAGTCTGATACCTGTTATCCTTGATCGCTAAATTCTGTAATAGGGAGGGATGACCTTGGTTATTAAGGACTGTAATGGGGAGTTCGTTGCTAAGAGTCTGTAATGAGTGCCTAGGGAGTGGGGGAGCCGCAAAATCTCATTTTAAAACTTACATTTACTATTTTCTTCGAAAATATATTTGATGTGAGTTCCACAAAAATCGTTTTTCAGATGAGGTTCTTCTAATGTATCGAGTGCTTCATTTCGTTGACGTTAAAGAGTAAAATATCAAATCAATAGAATACGAGTTGAATTGAGTTGAAAAAGAAAATTTTATTTTTAATGATTTAGAATAAATAAGTCAATAGTGACAAAAGAAAATGACAATATCTGTTTACAGATCTTTATTGGAGTGTTTCTATTTTTTCTCGAATTAATTTCATCTCTAATCTTTCTAGCGATAGTATTCGATGTTATATCAAATGGTTTCACGTCAACATCAATAAAAACACAAAGTAGTTTATTCTGATATTCACAAATATTTTTAAATTGTTCATATATCCAGTTGTATGCATCAATTCAATATTCTTTATCAAGTGATCCAGAAAAAAAAACTCCTTGCTTCATTTGTGATGAAGGAGCTTTATAATCAAGATGAGTTTGTGCTTCTTTACATATTAATTCTAATTCTTGTTCAATTTTTGATTTGCATTTTGTTATAATAAGACAACAATTTTTCATACATCAGAACCAAGAAAATAAAAAAAGACTTATTCACTTTTGTTTCCAATGATATACAAAACCAAACAAAATGTAGTTCTGTTGTCTTCAAGCCAATATAACTATCGATTAGTTGCATAATTGTCGTATTATCTAGTAATGATGATGAAGTTTTTGTTTGTTGAAATAAACCTGATGTATCATTGAAGTTTAGGATAATATCTGTTTCAGAACCAGAATATTGTTCAAATAAAGGAAATTTTGTTTGAGAAGATGACTTCAATGAACCAGAAAGTTTGAGCTGCAATAGCTAAAATATTTTTACATGTTGATTTTCCTATACATGATCGGCCAATTAATAAAATATGTTTTTGATTGCGACATAATTTGTCAAAAACTTCATTTCGTAATGTTAACCATGAAGTATAGAGCTAATAATATAAGACTGTCAGATTTAGCAAGTATTTCGTCGAGACTTGCTTTAGAATCTTGATGCCATTCATTTACTGATTGTGCAGAAGTATTAACGTTTTCCTACTAAAATATAACATAGATGTATGTTATTTTATATTGATCCAAAAGAAAAGTCAAATAATATATCTATAGACGTTTGCTAGTTTAAAAAATTGAATTTCTGTGTGAAGCTATTCATAGAGAGAACGTCTGGATAAAAGACGGAAGGACAGATCAGCTGAAGTTGGATTGATTTGGACAGAGAGGAAGGAAAGTCAAACACATATAGTTAACTAGATGCTTGGTACAATGATTTTCGCGAAATTTTGACGTTAAATAAATTTTACCAGCAATGTTTAAAATATTTCATATAGGAATTCTGTGGTATTTCATATATAAATGAATCAATTATACGAACCATAAAATGTGTGTTTAGCTTATTTGTATGATATATATTCAACCCAAAGAATCCGATACTCGGACCTCGTCAGATACGTTCGAAACAACTGTTAGATTCGGAAAAATTCAACGGCTTGCTTTTCATTAAATTCCAAGTGTCCGAAAATCTCGAAACCCATATAAACGGCATTCTGTCAAAATTTTATAAGGTTCAACAATGTGTTTGTTTGACTTAAGTATGTTATTCATTCTTCTCCTCATATACTTAGTTAATAAACGGTGATTAAATAGAAAAAAGACGGTGCTATTGAACAGCTAAGTTCTCTCTCAAAAAAGTATTTTAACGTCGACCGTATAGAGTAGGGAAAGAGAAGCTGACCAATATCGAAATTGAAAAAGGAGGCGGTCGACAAAAGTAAGTTTTGGTCACACCTCTTTTATGAATGCTCTTCTTAAAAAAGTACATTTGGCGCATTGAGGAATTTCCGACGAAAACGTTTCATAACAGAAGTTATTCTAAACTAAGATTCTTTATAATTGCGTAAATTCATTGGCTTAAAATAAAATTATGATTTTACTGAGAGTTCCATTTCATAAGAAAAAAAGTTAAAAATTTTGTTCTTTAGAAAAAATTTTCTGTTAACGGACTATTCTCAAAGAGAAAGAAAATCCATTTCACTAGAAACAGCAGTTTTGTTTTAATTCTTAACCAGTAAAACGTTTGTTTAAAATAAATTTAAAGTTTAGATAACTTGTGTATTCTAATCGATAATTATTTAATTATTTAACATATTAAAAAATCTTCAGTATTTTTATCTTATTAATGAACCAAGTTCATTGACACTAGTTTGTCGAAGAACTGTTTCTGATTTAATATATGTTGGAATAGTAATCGGAACGCCACCATATTTTTGTATTTCAATTTTTTTTTGTTGAGGTTGACAATTAGAATGTAAATCGTAATGGAAATAGCAGAATAGCAATTGAATACCTCGTGTTACATTATTTTCAAATTCGTTGAAGAAATTGTTATTCATTTGTCTCTCGAATTCTTTCGAATTTCATTATTAGTACATAATACAATTAAATGATGTTTTGGATGTCTATTTTGTATTATTGAAAGTATTTCAGGTTTTTGCACAGCAATAATACCTTTTTCTTTCAGTTCAAGTACATATTTTTATTTCTTAACAACATTACCAGATTCAAGTTATTTTGTTTATATTTCTGTGCTGCTATTTGTGATTCGTATTCAACGATTGGTTGATCAAGTTCAGATGATTCTGCATTACTACTTCGAACTCGAACTAACATATTTTCAATCCGATGACGAATATCATATTGCATACGAATAATCGTATGTCGATATATAACAATTTTATTAATTTCTTCATCATGAAAAAAAATTTTTCATTTGTCGACTAGACGTATATAATGTGGGACCAGTTGCTCGTAATTGATAGGTTTCATCAAAACTTGCTTGATTTTCATATGCCATATTGTCTTCGAGTACTCGAAAAATACGATCAGAAATAAGAGACTTTGACCAAATATTTCTGCGAGTTCAGAAGGTGATAACATGATATATTTAAGTGTCGACCTTTGCCATCATTTTTTTTCTGGAAATCAGCCGAAATACTTGGAAGTATTTCAAAAAGTTCTTCGATAGTTTTAAGACAATTAGTAAGAATAAGATTAACAAACAATATTATTTTGTAATTGAATGTTGTTGTATTTGATTTAGTTTGAAAAAATAAATGAGGTGCACCGAAATCAAATTTGAGAATTTTTTTCCACCATCTTCAAAGTCGAAATCTTATCGAAGTTTTAGAGTAAATTTTAAGTAGCATTTGACATATGAAATAGCAAGAGAGAAACATGATGTTCAGAGAACTATGATAAAGTTTTCTTCCTATTATTCTTTGATACTAGTTTGTTCCACTTTCTATTTGAGCAAGAATAGTAGTGGTGACAGTTGTTGTTGTCGTAGTAGAATAATAAGACTTAATAGCATTCACTAGAATAGTAATTGAACTATTTCGATTAACTTGCTTATATAATTTATTTAGTTCGAATTTAAGAACAGCTTTCGCAATATGTTTTGATTCTACCGTAGTACTATTAGCTTTAGATTGAGTCGATACATCAGTACTCCATCGAATAGGTGTAAAAGTATGTGTAGAATTTTCATGATGTAGAGCTGTAGGTTCTGCACGTATTTTTTATTTGTTATGGGCAACATTCAATGATTTAGTTCTGGTAATTGATTGATGAATAAATATTGCTTCTATATATTGATTTTTATTGTCGTGTGTATATGAATTATTAGTACTTGCTTTTGCACTTTTATCCAAGGCCATCCTAATATGCTAAGAGTTAATGAAGCATCGACATTTAATTTCTGTAATCGTTTTTTATACAGATATGTCAAATTTAAATGAAGAAGGGTCATGATTTTCATTCAAATGACGAATAGTAACTGTTGGAATCTCATCATTAACAATAGAACTTTCACAAAATTCATCAGTTGTTGCGTCGTAGAATGAGCCAAGAAATGCTGTTCGTCCAAATGCTTGACGAGAAATTGGTCGACCGATATCATGGTTCATTGTTTCAAAATCTTCTTTAAACATATGACATAGAATAAAACTTAATGAAGCAAGCATACGAAATGAAAGAACGTATACACTAATTTCGTCGTTTTATTTTATTTTTTTCTTTCAATACTTTATCATTATGTCAATACATGCATACAAGGCCAAACATTGCTAGAAAATATAACGAATCAATTGCATGGATTAATACTATTTTTCTCAAGTCAGAATAGATCGAATTTTCAATTTGTTGAAAATAAAATTTTTTTCCGTAAAAAGCATTTTATATTTAATGGAACAATGTTAGTTCATACTACAAATTTTGAGAGGAAACATGTAATAAATTTTATGATAGACTTCTGTGGTCGTGTAGAACATTATATTAAAAGCAAATAGAGAATAACTTATCTTATTCAATAGACGGAAATGTGCGAAGCACAGGTGTGTTTCAATGTTAACTAGTGCATAGACAAAAACAAGCAGTTTTTCTATACTGTATATACACAAGTCTTTTTAGAATTGTTTTCTTTTTTCAGAGACTACTAACGGAGTATGTTTTTATGAATTCTCTTATGTGAACAATGATTATAGATATATATCTACAATGAAAACAGTTTTTATACCGATTAGGACCATAAGAAGTGTTTTTATCTTTCTATTAGGCTGTTACATTTGAAACATCTTTATATACGCATAGAAACTTTTGAACCTCGTTTTCGTTTTGATATTGATTTATATAGTGTAAATAAGTGTTTTTGTTTGAGGTTGAATACACTTAGGTATCAAGCAAGTAAATAATTTTAATTTTAATCAAAATAGCCACATGTTCATTTAAATAAAAAAGAAAATAATATTTTTCTAAAAATATGAATAAATGTCAATTAAAGCTAGTAGATACGATTCAAACAATGGTATCAAGAGTAGAGTCTGTCGAGCTAGCTTCGAACCTGGACTCAATCGGGACCGAGCCTGAAGATCTTGAACCCGATGGGTTCTAGTCGTCTAAGTAATATATAGGGTGCGCTAGTTATTGATTATAAAAAATGGGAAAAAAGTATCTAGTAACTTCTGAACGACTATTCGATTTCGTTTAGAAAATTTTCTTGAAAATATCAAAGTATGATTCAATCGATATTCGGTCGGATAATTTTGGATTCGACAGTCTCCAATCAAGGCCCTTTTCTTATCTGTAATATGGTCGATGCAAAGAACCAAAGAATGAAAAGAAAGAAGAGAAAACATATAAATGATAAGTTTTTTTCAAATTACTATCAACAACCTGTGACGAAGTGACTCATAAGAGCATCAACAATATATTTTGCACAATGACTACACCAACTTTTCATGCTAAATCGACTGCACTTGAAGTTGTGAAAGGTCTTAACGCAAATCTTGATAAACAACTTGTGTTGATTACTGGTTGTACCTCAGGTAAATAAACTGAATCATGTTAGACTTACTAAAAATCCATTTATTATTTAAGGTATCGGAGTTGAAACAGCTCGTGCCTTAGCAACAGCAAATGCACATGTAATTATTACAGCACGAGATATGAAGAAAGGTGTAGAAGTTGTAGAAGATCTTAAAAAAACAACCGGCAATAATAAAATCGAAGTGATGGAACTCGATCTAAGTTCACTTCAATCAGTTCGAGATTTTGTTGATCAATTTCGAGGACGTAATTTACCAATTAATATTCTTATTTGTTAGTAGAACATTCCATTATTGATCTAATACATATTTCTATCATTATATTAATTATAGGCAATGCCGGTGTTATGGCATGCCCATATGGAAAAACAGTTGACGGTTTTGAAACTCAATTTGGTGTTAATCATTTAGGTCATTTTCTTCTTACTACAAGTCTTATACCTGAACTCAAAGCAGGTAAACCATCACGTGTTGTTGTCGTTAGTTCACTTGCAAATAGACGTAGTGGTATTAATTGGGATGATATTAACTGGGAAAAAAATTATGATAAATGGCTTGCTTACGCTCAGAGTAAAACAGCAAACATTCTCTTTGCTAAACAATTCAATAAATTATATTCATCAGAAGGTATTCAAGCGTATGCTTTACATCCAGGTGGTATTTTGACCAATTTAGTTAAATATGTAACAATGGAAGAACGAAAAGCACTGGGATGGTTTAAAGAAGATGGTACTCTTATCGATAGATTTAAAAATGTTGAACAAGGGGCATCAACAAGTGTATATGCTGCTTTAGCACCTGAACTTGATAATCATGGTGGAGAATATCTAGAAAATTGTGCAATAAGTCAAGGAGTAAATCCAGATATGACAACATTTTGGGGTATGGGAACGCATGCAGTTGATATGGAATCAGCTGAACGTTTATGGAAACTGAGCGAACAATTAGTAGCAGCTAAATAAAATTAACGACATATTAACTAAATTTGCGATCGTGTAAAAAAACTAATTCAAAATTAGAAACAAATAAAATCTATTGATTCAGTTAGCATCCGTATTTTATTCAAGGTTTTTTTTGTTTTACATCGTACATACTTGCGTTTATTTCAATCTGAAATATAAAAGCAAATAAAAGACGAAAAATTGATGATGGAAATCCTACTAAATAAATAATCATAAATACATCTAACAATACAATAAACTGAAAAATTTGTAATCAAAGTCATTAACTGTTTCTTTTTCTCATCGTTAGAATAATGTGCAAGTTTTTTAAACTAAAACCTAAGTATTTTCTTTTATTCTGTTGAATAAGATATAATCGTATGTGTATCAGTTCATTTACCGTGATAATCTCTATCTTTACTTATCGTAGTTGTATGCATATATAACATTTATTCAAAATTTTTTGTCTTCGAACCTTTTCTCAGCTTGGATTTCAAAATCATTATGCATCTCAACAGAATCTGAATATGATTTTTCAAGTTTAAACGAAACTACGTCAGCTATTGTATGCAAATGATCTAAAAGTGAAACATACTAATTTTTCAAAACATTTCCTTGAATGTAACTATAGATTACAGCTTTTCTTTGGAGCAAAATTCTATTTTCTTCAAAGCGTATTTTTTTCCTCTATCAAATATTGCGTGTTTGATGCAATTGAACTTCTCATTCTTTTACGAAGTACTCCAACGATCATTGCCAACCTTTCATTTACGTACTCGGTATTTGGCAAGGATGTAAATAAATCAAATGACAGATATTATCAAACGGTATAAGTGTATTGTATATTGGTTTAATGCATGCAAGTTAAACGTCATATGTAGTAACTGAATTCAAAATACTTAACTTACCTTTGGATTACATCATAATTTTATATTTCTTGCTATAGACCGAATACCAGTAATTAATGTATTTGATAGTGAAATGAATCATTTGATAATAAGCATCAATCATATACGCTTGCGTAGATGGAGAACATTTTTTTTTTTTTATTAAGAATGGTCAAATTTTGATTGTTGTCGCTCACAATAATCAGTCACTAGCTATTTTCAATATCCATTTTTAGACAAATTATACATTTCAGGTAAAAATTTCTTTTGAAAAAATTAACATTGATTTTCATATTATTTGTTTAGGCAAGTATTCCAGCTCCATTCAATATTTATGGCCTTGTCAATTTAATAACATATTTCTTTATGTTTCATCTTTAAACAGTAAAAGTATTGCTTCGTTTATGCAACGAAACTCAGCATGAAAATGCCAACTACTTGACAATGTGAAAATAAATGACCATAGTTCACATATACTTGTCGACAATTATGAAAGAGTTTGACAAATTATTATATCGTTTAGATGTCGCATTTATGATCAATTATAAGAATAGAAATCAGCCGTTGGAGTATGAATTTAGATTGAGGTATTATTTATGATCTTCGTTTTCTCGCTAATTATGTCTTATTAGTGATACAGAGAAAAGATTAATAACTCATTACGATTCTTATTTTTCATGTTCAGAAATAAAATTATTATGTTTTAAAGTGGATGAACATCTGATCTCAAGTAATTTTTCGGTTTTTCATTTCTTAACAGTTTTTCGCCGGAGTGCCAGAATAGATGTTTTGTGCTATAGCACTTCGGTTTTTGTTTTTCATAAAAATGTATCCTTTTCTTATGCATTCTCTATAGAAACAATGAGAAAAATCTTTCTTCATGTTGAACGGCTGTCTTCATATCGTTTCATAACTTTTTTCAGATCCAACTGAAATACGCAACGTTTACAGTAACCGCTATGCTGCCATTTACGGTGCTTCGTAAGCGGTTGTCGTAAACGATCAGTCGTGATAGTGACCGTATCTTACCGTATTGTTATCATTAATGATTGTTTTATCCGAACTGAGTTATTGTTATTATTCTTGTTAGTCTTTTGTTGATTGTTCTTTTTATAAATAGACGTTCGTTAGGTTCTAGTTTGCTAGACCTTATGATTACATTGCGCTTTGCAATCAAATATACAAATTGACCATATGTCCATGTCTTAGTTCTTCAGATTATTATAGAGTAGAAATATTCGAAAAACAAAAAAAGAGTGAGTACTAGTGGATAAGATGAATGTAATACATGATTGAGAAAAGAAAACAATGTGCATATTTAAATTCATGTATATAAACTTTCTCTCTTCCGTTCGAATACAGGTTTCATTTTCTCGATCAGTAGATAAACATATTACAATCAATACAGGGAAATTATCAGTACATAATTCCTGAAGTATCACCTAATGATCTAAATATTTGAGCAATTCATTGTAACTCAATATGCTCATCAATCATGGTAATAAAAGTGTATCCAAAATATTTAGACTATTCAATAGAATCAGCTATAATTGTCATTTGAAATATTAAAAATTCTCTAAACAAACTTATTTTCGAGCTTCAGTTTCCCGAGGTACTATCACTGATTATTCTAGTTCACGTCGCTAGAAAACCAATCCTAAAGTGCTCTCATTTTTCCCCGAAATATTTTAGAATTTTATTGAAAAAACAAAACATTATTATTCATTAAATGCAAGAAATAAAGAAGAAAGAAGATACATATTTAACACAATAATAATTGAAATAACCATAGAGAGAGAACACATTTTATTAACAGTATGTAAAATAATCAACACTATGCAAAAGTAAAAGCTAAACGAAGGAATAAGTTGCTTCAGCACATTCGACTACATTAGAAGAATAAACTATATTAGAGCTCCTGCTAGGATTGAGCTCCATTTTTAATCTTTTCCGATCTTTGAACGTCAAGCGTGATATTATTGTTGAGAGAAGATAGTTAACGTTTGCTATCAAATATCACTTTATAACAAACAAAACCAAATAGTAAATAACCTGTGCAGCAAAGGATCGTAGCTGTATAACCATAATAATAGTTGTTTCGATAAATCAGAACTAAAATACCGATGCAAACGATCTACGAGATATAGAGAATTGAATAAACGTGGTCTCCACTTAATGAAAGAAGTTCTCGAATGAGATATAGCTGTAATACAAATAACACTATTGATAAGATACGTCTGGTCTTAAGCTGCATATAGTGTGGCAGTATTTTGTTGATACAATCGAACAGCAACAATCTTCGTAAGATCTTTTGTAATATGAGTTTGCTGCAACTGATATTACATTGGTCATTCTCAACATGAGAACTGACTCTTGAGATCTGTCTAAAATATACACATATTTGGATTGTAATAAAACGAGAAATATTATGACACCATCATAGAAAAGAGCGCGTAATGCATTATCGGCATCACAACGGCATGACAGTAAATCGAAAGAATGAGAAATCGTTTTAACCTAAAGCAAACATCATGGTCAACACAAGATTATTAATTTAAAAGAAGCAATAACATTTTGAACGAATCTATTTTGTCTCCTCCCCAAAAACTAGTGGACATTCCAACAGCAAAACAAAAGGAAGTGTAGAAAATTCGGTGAAGCAATTAATACTTCTTATAGAGCTGATATGCCGTCCATGGTAATCATTGCAACAGTGAGGATCAGCAGTATACATTTCTCTAGAGAAGATTTTATCTATCTAGAAACACTTTCACAGTAAATCTGACGCAATCTAACATTTTTCTACTAAATCAATAAGATCATGGAATCTTTATTGAGTTTTAAAGTTATATGACAATGCAATAAATATCTAACCTATTATAAGTAGGTGTACCTTAAGCATAGAGTATATAAATAATTTCGATTCGGCTATTGTCTTATTTACATTGCATTTTGATAATAATATTGATTGCTTTTATTTACACCTCTGATATTATTCTAGCTGACAATGCGTAATTTCGCAGAAGACCGAATCTAAGTAAACTTGGGAGAAATGTCAAAAATTTAATATGAATAATCTTGATGGGATTTGAATGTCTTAGTGGTGCTGTACGCTATGAGTGAGTTATTACATAATTTTATAGACGCATGTTTCCATCATGATTAAAATGAAAACAAGCATCTTCTAAGTTTTATCTCTTTAATGGGCTAGAGATAAGTTTTCAATGATGCGAATTTAGGCTATTTTTTTAAGCAAAGTATGTTTATCTATTTAGATGTAATAAACATTTTGGTAATAACAGTGAAAGAAAAGATTTTATCTAAATAGAATAGACGAAAGATAATAATAACTAGCATATATTTTTTGGTCCTTTCTGATGTTGTACGGAACTATTTACATGTTTCTGACCGAAATAGTGTCCATCTTTCGAAGAAAATGAAAACATTATCTATGAAAATATGACATGAAGAATGCATAGGTTGATGTAAAATTAAATAGAAACTAATGAATGTGAGCACTTATTAAAACACTTTTTGTTATTTACAATAGTCTAACTGAAATGTAGATAGAAGCAGAAAGATTGTCTAGAATAAATGAAGCAGAACTTTCAATAACAAATAAAATACACTATATTCGATAAATCATGAGTATATTTTTGCTATTAAATATTCGTCATAGTTTACAAGCGACGAGAACCATATATAGCATAAAACTTAATTATTGAATATTTAATTAAGATGAAAGTAATAATTGATTTTTTATAGAATACTACACAGGTGACTAAATTGGTTACACAAACGGACTCATCCAAATGTATGACAGTATTTAAGAAAAAGGAAGGTATGTTATACAATTGATGAGAAAACAAAACATAACAATGCGTCAATATCAATATTCAATGAGCGATGTTGTATAGTGGATTGAACTGGAATGGTGACTACAAACAACGGATCTATGAATCGGTCAATCCAAATAACGAAGGACCCATCAGAATAACAGATGTCATGTCCAGTAATACGTTGCTTTCCTTGTATTTTTTTATAGAAGATCTGGGTGTGGCTCATAATTACAGAGCTTCGAGTATCATTACAAAGAAATAAGTATGAGATAAAATGTAATTATTAATATTATTGATAAACTATTATTTCATGTATAAAAGAAGATTTCAAAAATGTTTTTCTAATTCCTGTGTATTATTGAAGCTTGATTGAAGTCATCTATTTTCAATAGAGATATTATGAATAGACAAAATTCGTTGTCTTATGCGCTTAAACAGCTTCAGATAGATGAGAATAAGAGTACACAAAAACAATGAAAATTGACAACATGACACGACCAATTTATACATCGAAATTTATGCTTTAAATAGAATGAATTTACTGCAATAGTAATAGGATACCCAGACTTTCTTTTGTCTATCTAAAAGAAGTAAAAACGTATTACTTAAGACGCCATTATAAGATCGATAGTAATCCATACTTAAACGTAGTGAACAATGTGAAGCTCGATGACGGTGTCTCAAAATCCTCGAAGATTTTTCGAAATTGTTTTAGCTTTGTAAATTTTTGAATTATAAAAAAGTTGAAGAATCTATTGATAAGAAATTAGGCAGATACTTTCTCTGTAAAGTTTGAACCTTGCAATAACAGATGTTTATTTTTTAAGGCTTTGTTTGCATACTGCAGTGATGACATCGACTAGACTCACCAAAACCTTTCTTCGTCTTTGGTATCAGTAGCTCAGCCTATTATTTTGCTACTTTAAACATAGGGTGTAAAGAAAGATCAGCAGCCTTATGAGCTGAGAGAATAGCGAATTAAGAAAATAATATTAATACATTTTAATTAAAATAAAATAATCAAAATTTCTCTGTATAATGGTCAAAATACTATGAAACAACTTAGAATTGGAGAAAATAATTGTAGAGTTCAAAATACTAAGGTGATATGTGGGCGTGTGAATCTTTGTGTCACGCACACGCCTATGCGACACCACAACCATTCCTACACCGCATTTGTTTTTCACGTACAAGGCTAGGATGTTTTCATAGGAACTAAGACATCAACCATGACATAGAAATTAATAAATCCATACTAAAACTTTAATAAATATAGTTTTAATTTCAATAGTAAGAAATCATTAATGGTGTTATGATGAAAATTTTGCTACTTAATTTTGAAATTTGAATATCGGAACTTGTTTTTATCTGAAAAGGATTCTTCAACAGATCTTCATTTTGACCAAAAAAAACACCTTCATTTGTCACAGTACATGAGATGAAACCTAACTGTACCGAAGGATTATTATCTCAGATTATCTTGACAACTATAGACTTTTTTTTTTATCAAGTTAATTATTTATTCCAAAATATATTTTTATCTAGATTTTCTTTCATTAAAAGAATAATAGCATTAGTTAGTAAATATTCACTGAATAATTACGATTGAAAACATTAAAAAAACTGAGGAAAAAATTAAATAAATTCCTCTTACACATGTTTGATGTTGTAAAACTTAGATATAATTATTTATAATTATTTTACATAAATGTTTCAAGATCTACCTTAGAACAACAGCTTTAAACTATTTAAATGACAATAAGAAAAAACTAACACACACATTCATTAGATATTTATCCATCTATTAGTTTGATTCTTTCTGTCGTTTTCTCGTTTTTTTTTTTCGATTCAAATCGGACTAACATGTGCCATCGATATACTAACGAACGAAAGATAGAAAAATATTATAACTATGTAGTCTTCTTCTCATTTCTATTATTTTATTTTATTTTATAATGACATCTAGTGCTAATTCTTTTGTCGATCCTTCTGTATGTTCTTGTTTCCCTGGTTCATATCAATATACTATCTGTAACAAAGTTAAATGGTCAACTTTATCTATTTACACCGCATTATTAATTATTGTAAGAAAATTTAACATAGATATATCAACTATTTTTTTTAATGCATATAGATTGTTTATCTAAGTAGTGGACTATATGTCTTAATTGATGTAGCAACAATGATATCAACAGAATCATATGGTGGTAAAGATCGTATGTATCATTGAATTTAAATAAATACAGTATTAAATATTTTTTCAATCTATTTGATTTTTGTAGACACAATTTTATGGCTAATAGAATCTTCTTCATTAATGACTATTTTAAGCTCAATATCAGTATTGATCTATTTCGCTGTTGTTATTCTTATCACCGTTCTTCTTTGTGGCATTCAATTAGTAAAATTTTAATAGATTTAATCAATGATATTTGTTACTTCGTTTTTTTGAAGGGAAAACCATGGCTGTTATTTCTTTGGTCATTTCTAATGATGTTCATATTACTTGCTGATGGTATTGTAACTGTACTTTCTCTTCGAGAACGTCAACAACAGGTTTAATTATCTGATAGATATCTCTTCATCAAAATAATGTTCTATTTTTTCGTATTATTTAGAATTATCGACCAATGATTCAAATTAAAATTCTCTTTATTATTATGATTGTTCGTCTTATTGTCTTGGTTAGTTAAAGAAATCAACAATAATAGACAATATTAAAATGCTTTTATTTTCAGTTATGTGGAATTTTCGTGACTGTCTTTTATTTTCGTCGTTTAAATAAAGCTCAATCAGAACAAATACATCGACAAGTAATAAATTACTCTATTACTATAAATTATCTCTCTCTATATATTCTAGAGAATGTTAGATCGATATAATTCTGAATCTTCCTCACTATCATATTATGGTTCATGGGCACATTCTGCTACTTTTTTAAATCCATCAAAAGAAAACAATGATGATCATTATACATCAGATTTTCCTCCATCCATTCCATTACCAAGAGCTAAATTTACTACTCTTCAACATCATTCAACATCAACAATGCTCCATTCACATAATCAACACTCAGTAAATAATATACAATCTCATCAACGGGCAATAAAAAGATATGCTGATGACTTTCGATATAATGTACCATTACAAGAAAGATTTCATCAACAACAGAAAAAAGGTGTACAAGAATTTTAGAAATCTATAGTAACATTTTATAAATCGATGATTTTTATTGTTGAATATATTTCCTTTTTTATTTTTATTTTTTCAATATCGACATGAAACATGTTGTTGAGAGTTATTCAATAAACTTAGACTCTGGATATGAAATTCTGTACTTCTTCGAGGAATTCATTAATGAACTTTCATTTTTATTATCATCAAGGCAAAACATCGGAGATGTTTTCAACTAAATTTCTAAAAAATTCTTTTCTTTTAATTCAGAAACAAACTTGAATATTCTGCATTATAACTGTCTAATCAAAGATAATTTTCATGTATTATATTTGCCATCTAATTGAATAAAGCTAGAGAAAAAGAGATTGCAGGTAAGTAACATTGAGAAAGCTATCAACAAGATATTCTACATTCAACAGTTAGATAATCGTTGAATAGTAGATTAGATTATCTCTTGCTTTCAAAAGATACTTAAGTCTATCATTTCATTATAGAATTGCACGACATCGTACAAATCTAACGTTAATAAAAGCAATTCATTCATTTGATACAGATAAAATGTAGAAGCAGTGATTATCAATTCATTTTTATCAGTTACTCACTGCTTCCGTTTGAAATTATATATTTATATTCGTTATCATTCGTATTATAAGACAAACACACCCAATGAAAAGTCATAAATCAGAGAAATAAACGAAAAAAAAGAGAAAAAAAAATATAAAGTTTATTTATTTGTCTTGTTTTTTTAATCCATAATGCCAGTCGATTGTTGTTTTTTAACTCTTTGCGCTGCAGCAACTTGTTCTTCTTGTTGAAGACAATCAGCAAATGCTTGTAAACGTGTTTGTAATTCATTTAATATTTGTTGACGTTGAAGTAAATTTGCACGCATATCATTAACAAATTTTTCTTGATCATAATCAACTGTATCTTGTGCTTGTTTAACAATTGCACGTAATTGTTTTGTAAGTATTGGTTCTTTATTTGTTAAAACATCTTGACAAGAATCAAATAAAGCTTCTTCATATTCTTGTAAATGTTCAACTTGTGCTGCATATGAAGCTAACGCTTCATCTTGTTCATCATCATCATCATAATTTGATGAAGAACTTGTACTTTCAGCCGAAGATGCAGACCCATCATGATGATGAGGATAATGTTGATGATGATGATGATGATGATGTTTATTTTCTTTATCTTCATCAATAGGTAAAGCTATAAAAGAAAAATCAATCATTATTTACATGTACAAATACAGCCCATCAAACCTTTTGATATTCCGTCCATTTTAATATCATCATCGTCATTTGACGTAATTCCGTCATTATCTCCAGCTCGTAATTCTTTAACTCGATCAGCATAACGTAATGTATTCATTGTATTTTCAACATCAGAATGTGTTGGTGATACCATTGCAATCATACAAACTTTTGATTTATCACCGATAAATGAATCTCGTAATACTTTTGTTAATGTTGAACCACGAAATGGTACATGACTACCACCACCACGACCCAATGCACGAATACATTCTTTGAGTGCTAATAAAGATTTATTAATTTCTGAACCTTCCATACGTTGAAGACGATCACCACTTGCTGTATCTTTACCACGTTCTGAACCGGCTAAATCAATTAAGGACATTTTACCAACTTCTTTCATTAAACGACGAGGTACAGCTGGATTATTATGATTATTATAGCGAGATGATGATGATGATGATGATGATACATTCGAATGATTGGAAATAGGTGCTACTGATTTTAAAATAATTTGTAGAACAGCATGTGACCTAGAAGAGTTTGAATTTGCTGCTGTTGTACCAGATGTTCGAATACTCATGCCATCTAAATTACATTAAAATCAAATTAAGAAAAATTTTCAACGACATCAATCATTTAAGATAATAAATTTTTCAAATGAAAGGTTTAACGACTAAATATAAAAAGAACAGTTTCGATCTTTCTGATATCTAATAATAAATACAACTAAAATTCTTTGATTAATCTAATAGTTAACGATAGAGCAAAACGACTTTTTTTTGTAAGTTTTTTACAAACTTTGATAAGTCTTCAAACGTTTTATCCGAGATATGAGTTCGCTATTTAAATTGACTAGCGTAAAAGCAAATAAAAACTTTTGTGAGTACATGTTGATTGTTTATCTTTGAATCAAGAATATTGCTCAAAAAGAAAAAGAAAAATTTAATTCCTTGAGAATGCATTTATTGTGAGAAGAAACAATTTTTGAAAGTAATGAAACAATATATATGGATGTCTTTGTCATTGAAGTGCTGCAAAAGACTAGTGATGTAGCCGCCAGATGACTAGAGAGAAGAGCCTTCATCGAAAAACAACTTTAGCCTGGAATAGAAAGTTTCTTCTCGTGGCTATTCCCATAGTGAAAACTTTCGAGTTACACCACTATAAGAGACATGCTTAGGGGTGGCACTTTAACTTTAAAAACATTTTAAAAAAGTATTAAAGTTTAACGTGTTTTATTTAAAACTTTAATTAAAATAAAAATTTTAACACTTTAACTTTAAAAAAAGTTAAAGTGCTTGTACCATGGGTAAGAAACGACCATGCCAGGTTCTTGCGTCCTCGTCTAGCTACCCTAGCGGGGTACTCGGGTCCTCATATGGCTATTCTAGTGGGAATACTTGGGTCCTCAAGTACTATACTATGGAGGTACCCTTAGGTTCTCAAGTGCCATACTATAGGGGTATCCTTAAGTCCTCAAGTACCATACTATGAAGGTATCTTTAGGTCCTCAAGAGCTAAACTACGGGGATAACCTTAGGCCCTCTGGGCCTATACTATAGGCTATTATATAGGCCTTGAAGACCTAAGGATACCCCTATAGTATGGCACTTGAGGGTCTAAGGGTACCTCCATAGTATAGCTGTTGAAGATCTAAGGATACCTCCATAGTATAGATGTTGAGGACCTAAGAGTACCTTAATATTATAGCACTTGAGAACCTAAGGATGCCTTCATAGTACAGGCCTTGAGGATCTAAGAATACCCATATAGTATAGCACTTGAGGACCTAAGGGTATCCCTGTAGTATAGCTCTAGAGAACCCAAGTATCCCCACTAGGATAGCCATATGATGACCCAAGTACCTCTCATAGAGTAGCCATATAAGGACTCAAGTACTCTTCTTTTGATAGTCCTATAAGGATCCAAGTACCCCACCTAGGATAGTCATATGAGGATCCGAGTACCCCCGCTAGTATAGCCATATGAGGACCCAAGTACCCCTGCTAGGGTAGCTAGACGAGGACCCAAGAAGTGGTCATGGTCGTTTCTTACCTATGAAACGAGCACTTTAACTTTAACTTTTTTTTAAGCTAAAGTTTTAAAGTGTTTTCCTTTAACTTTAAGTTTAAAGTGCCACTTTAACTTTAACTTTTAAAGTAAAGTTAAAGTGCCACCCGTAGACATGCTACAGTCAGTTACTAGTTGAATCAAATCTGAAACACATATATTTTCTTTCCATTACTAACAAATTAATAGTTTTAAAATTTTTTTAGATGAAAATCATCAATCAACTTCATAAAGTTCAAATAACCATTAGTCTATGATACAAATAACTATATTATTATTCAAGAGTCTTTGTAGATAGAAAAACGTTTCAGTGAAATGGATAGACTTACGTTGAATGATATTTAATACATCTTGAACAGATTTGACTTGTTGTTCTTTTCGATCACATACTTGAACAAGACCTTTTTGATCTTCTAATACACGTAAACGTTTTTTATTATTAAGTAAATCAAAAACTTTGCCACAATAAATTTCATAAAATGTAACAAATATTTCAATTGATGACCGATATTGTGGTTGTGATAAACGATGAAATATATCACGTGCTGTTTGTGCATAGATACCATGGGAATAATCGGTCTTTGCTGATGATAAATCACCACCCATTGTAAATGTTTTACCTAAATTAAGATGAGAAATAAAAACATAAGAAAATAAAAATAAAAAAGTTTTACGAACCAGATCCAGTTTGACCGTACGCAAAAACAGTTGCATTACCACCATTAAAAATTATATCAATAAGTGGAGCAGCTGTATAATGATAGACAAGTTCAGTTGAAGCTTTTTCATCAAATGTATAATCAAATCTGAAAGATTGTTAAATGATTAAATTTGAATTATTTATAAGGAAATTGTGTTACTTAAATGTTTGATTATCAAGATATTTGGTTAAATCAACTTTTGATTTTGGTACATGAACAAGACAATGATCTCTATTTGGAATTGTAATAACATCATTATCTTTTTTAGCTAATTCACGTTTATTTAATGGACGTTTTCGAACAGCTACACAAATACGTAAATCTTTTTGATTGACTTCATGGTGATGTAAATTTGAATTTGTCATCGGAGAATAAGTTAATGTTGAACGATAATCAAGAATCATTTGACCAAATGGACCATGTAAACCAATAGATGATGGTGGTTCAGGTACAGTTGGTACAGCTGTGTTATGTGTATTTATTGAAGATGATTGTTGTACAACATGAAGACGAGAAAGGCGACGTTCAGCTTTATTATTTACTGAAGGTGGAATCTGTAATTGTTGTGGTTGAATTTGTTGTTCAACAGTAGGTGTTGGAGGTGGTATAGGAGATGAAGATGTTGTTATTTTTGAGGATGAAGAATTTGTCTGAGCAGTAGGACGACGTATTGAACGAACAGCAGCTGTATTATGTGTTCCGGATGGTGCATAGCTCGTTTTTTGATGAGCTGTAGTAGCTGTGACAGAACTGAATAGGGAATAAATAAAAAGCGTCTTTAAAAAAGACTAATAATAATAAAAATAATAATAAACATACCCGTTAAGTGGTGGAGGGGGAAGGGGCGTTGAAGTTGTTTGAATAGATACCGGGTGTTGCTGAATTTTTTGTAATAATTGTGGTGGAAGTGTTGGTGGTGGTCGTGAATTATATTCACGTTCTAATGTATCAATATCTAAAGTAAGCCGACTTGATGATAGACCACTAAAAGGAATAGGGACAGCTGCTGTTGGTCGAATATGTTGATTGACAACTGATATTGGTTGTTTAAATGTTGTATTTGGTCGTAATTCATTATTAAGTTCAAATACAAGATCAAGTAAGATTTCTTTTCCTTTAACTTCACCGCGTTCATTCCATTCAACACCAACAGATTTTGATTCAGCTGAAAGTTGTACTACTTTAGCTAAATGTATTCGACCGTCAGATCGTTTTATTTTAATTGATGAAGAAACTTGAATTAAACCAAACAATGGATCCACTGTCGTCGACATTGTTTATTCTATTTTTACTCTAAAAATATTCATAAGCCTTGAATAAATTGATGAATTCAATCTTCTCTACATGTATGTATACTTTTAAAGTAATTCTATTTTATTTCTTTTTACATTAGAAAAACATCAACGTAAAGAAAAAAAAAAGTAATTACATTAATTACATAAGCAATAATAGCACTAGATGAATAGATGAAAAAAAAGTAAGCATGAATATACTCACTAACCATAGTACCAAGACATTTTTTTTCTACAGATATTTTCTTTTTCTTTAGCCCGACGGGGTTAGTACGACAGGTTGGTTGTTCTGGCTACTTTATTACACAAACAATGGCGAACATATGACTAAGGACTGAATGAAGGGAAAAAAGAAGTGAATAGATGCAAAATAAAAGAAATAGAGAAAAACGAGAAGGAAGAACAGACGAAAAACGAATGACGACAAATGCGCGCTTTTGTCAGTGTTCAATATTTTCTGTTTCTTGTTCTCTCTCGCGAAGAACGAGAATGTAATAGAAGAAGCAATAACTTGTTATTCGGCGATAGCGTGGGTGACCTTTATGTGTGTATGCGTGGTGTAGAAAGAAAAAAAAAATGATTTCAATGAAAAGAAGAAGAAAACCTGAACGTATATGAAACAAGAATGAAATTTGACCTTGAGAATGGTACTGAAAAAGGAACGAAAAAAATTGATTCGAATTGAACATCGGATACTCGATAGATATCGAATTCTTTTTCGCGAGTACAGAGAGCTCTCCACCTAATATAGAATGCAAGCAATTGTCCAATACAATATACGTTAGAAACATAAACAATCGTTCTTTTTCTTCTTTTTTTTTCTTTTCATCATATAGCTAAATCGATCTCGATATAAAAGGATTGGATGCTGAAAAAAACAAAAGACCATAAAGTACATTTTCATCATTCATCCCATCGTAGAAATAAGTATACGACCTGTCCAAGCGTGACGGAATCACGTTTTTTCACTTTCTTTTCTCAATATCTCAGCAAATTCAAATCGGGTAATGCTGTTTACTTTTGGAAGATACATAAGCTGGACTGTTCTACACATCATGAAAGTTTCATTGGATTTTGTCCTTCTTTTATAATTTTATGGTTTAAATGTAGGTCCGTGACGGAATCACCAAAAATGAACATCGAGTTGCAGTGTTGTGTGAATAACTAAAAATTTTAGCTCAACCATAGGAGTGATAAAAAAGCTTTATATACGAAAGTTATAGCTTAGATGACTANTGATTGCGATAAATATTTTTCTGTTCGTTTCTATTCTTCGAGGCAATCAACGGACAGTAAATCCTCAAACGAGAAAAACGCTAATTGAAAAAAAAAAGTCATTCAATCAATGGACAGTAAATCCTCAGCAGCAAAAATTATACTTTTTGTAGAAAAAAAACAATTTTCTGAGAAAAACAATCAATGGACAGTAAATCCGTGGACAGTAAATCCTGTAAACCGTATAAATGACCATTAAACTATGATATAAATATCTGTATTTCCTATTGAAGAAAGCTAATATCTATAATTTTCTCTTACGCAATCGTACTGTTCAAAATTCTTGTCATGTTGAAAAATGTTTGAATAAATAAGATAGACTTACGTTGAATGATATTTAATACATGATGAACGGATTTAACTTGTTGTTCTTTTCGATCACAAACTTGAACAAGACCTTTTTGATCTTCGAATACACGTAAACGTTTTTTATTATTAAGTAGATCAAAAACTTTGCCACAATAAATTTCATAAAATGTAACAAATATTTCAACTGATGAACGATATTGTGGTTGTGATAAACGATGAAATATATCACGTGCTGTTTGTGCGTAGATACCATGTGAATAATCGATCTTTGCTGATGATAAATCACCACCCATTGTAAATGTTTTACCTTAATTGAGATGCACAATAAAAAGAAACAACATAAGAAAATAAAGAGAAATAAACTGACTGACCAGATCCAGTTTGACCATAGGCAAAAACAGTAGCATGGCCACCATTAAAAATTGTATCAATCAGTGAAGCAGCTGTATAATGATAAACAAGTTCAGTTGAAGCTTTTTCATCAAATGTATAATCGAATCTGAAAGATTACAAACAATCAAATTTCAATTATTTAAGATATAATATTCTTACTTAAATGTTTGATTATCAAAATATTTGGTTAAATCAACTTTTGATTTTGGCACATGAACAAGACAATGATCTCTATTTGGAATTGTAATAACATCATTATCTTTTTTAGTTAATTCACGTTTATTTAATGGACGTTTTCGAAAGCTACACAAATACGTAAATCTTTTTGATTAATTTCATGATAATGTAGATTGAAATTTGTTATTGGAGAATAAGTTAATGTTCAACGATAATCAAGAATCATTTGACCAAATGGACCATGTAAATCAATCGATGGTGGTGGTTCAGGTACAATTGTAACAGCTGTATTATGTGTATTTATTGAAGATGATTGTTGTACAACATGAAGACGAGAAAGACGACGTCCACCTTTATTATTTGCTGGAGGTGAAATCTGTATTTGTGGTTGAACTTATTGTTGTTGTTCGACAGTAGGTGTTGGAGGTGGAACAGAAGATGAAGATGTTGTTATTTTTGAGGATGAAGAATTTGTCTGAGCAGTAGGACGACGAATAGAACGAACAGCAGCTGTGTTATTTGTTCCGAACGGTGCATAGCTGTTTTTTTTTGATGAGCTGTAGTAGCTGTGACAGAACTGAATATTAAAAAAGAAAATTTAAAAAAAGATAATAATAATGATAAATAATATACCCGTTAAGTGGTGGAGGGGGAAGTGGCGTTGAAGTTGTTTGAATAGACACTGGGTGTTGCTGAATTTTTTGTAATATTTGTGGCGAAATTGTTGGTGGTGGTCGTGAATTATATTCACGTTCTAATGTATCAATATCTAAAGTAAGTCGACTAGATGATAAACCGCTAGAAGGAATAGGAATAGCTGCTGTTGGTCGAACTTGCTGATTGGTAAGTGGTGCTCGTTGTTTAAATACTGCATTTGATCGTAATTCATTATTAAGTTCAAATACAAGATTAAATAAAATTTCTTTCCTTTAACTTCACCATGTTCATTCCATTCGACACCAACAGATTTTGATTCAGATGAAAGTTGTACAACTTTAGCTAAATATATTCGCCCGTCGGATCGTTTTATTTTTTGATGTGGAGACTTGAATTAGACCAAACAATGGATCCACTGTCGTAGGATTCAGAGGTCTCAATGGGCTGGGCCAAGCCCGGCCCGGCCCTGCCCAGTCCGGCCCATTCGGCTCATGGGCTGAAATTGTAATGGGTACCCATAGGCCGAAATTTCAATGGGCACCCATGGGCCGAAATGGGCCGAATATAAAACAAAACGAAAATTATCAAAACTTCTTTCTCAAAGTAAAACTGAAATTTCCTTTGCGACTGATCATCGGATAAAAGCATAATCGTAACTGAAAATCAGACATGTAAAAGTTCGTCATTAATTATCCATGTGATTCATTATATGTAATTAGCTGCTTTTACAGCTCTCCTACATATGAGTTAACAGAGTGGCGCCTAACTTTTGTTNCAAAGTTGTGATGAAATTGAACGCTATCGATAGGACTCTTATTATAAAGTGAAACTTAATGATAATCAAAAATATTTACATAAACAATCGGTTGGTTGGTTTATTAACTGATAAGCATATGTGTTTGTCAAATAATCGGCTTTCTCGAGTTATCCGAACAAACCGCAAAGATAATAACAATCTCCTTTTCTTATTCTTCAAATTCGATTTTTCCTTAGAAATAAATATGAAGGAGCTTCTGAACATGTTAATGTACTAATCTGTATTTCATTGTAGGTCCAAGTACTTATATGTATTGATTAGTACTTCTACATTTCTGAAGTACAGAAGTACCCATTTTTCCTCTTGACTTTTTTCCATAGTAATTATTACTATTATCTAGAAACCAAGGATCAATTGTCTACATATATGTAATATACCAATGATAACAAAATCTCTAAGTGCCATATATAGAAATGTGTGACTTGAAAATAAATACGATGTTTGTCAATAGCTGTAGAATTTTAATCTCAAATTAAATAAAAAACAAAAAAAAACCATCCTTCAATTCAAGCACGTCTCTTTTTACTGTAATCAAATAGTTATTATTTGACCTATATATATGTTGCACATAGTAAGCTAACGATATCTATCGATAATGATGTTTGAATTTTGTCGAGGTTTGTTACCTAGCATTGTTCAATATCAAATGGTTGTTTTAAACTTCTGCTTTACAGATAATAGTGTAATCTGATTCTTGTCTCAATTGGTGATTGACACAAGCGATGCTTCGTTCCTCAAATAATCGTCTTAATTATCGTCAAGCACCATCGAGTATTGAGAACTATAAAGCACTAAATGAGTTCGTAATGAAGTCAACAAGTCCTCGAACATCAGGTCAGTCACATACGGCACAAAATGATAAATGGAATGATGATAATCGAACATTACGAAAATTAGTTGGTGATCAACCATTAAATCCTTCTCAGTCTCGGTCACGAACATTAGAAAAATTAGTTGGTGATCAACCATTAAATCCTTCTCAATCACGGTCACGATCATCAAGTGCTGCCTCATTAAATTCTTCTCAATCTCGATTACGATCGTCAAGTGTTGCCTTATTAAAATCGATGGTTATCGAAGGACAGTGGAGATATCAGGGACATGACGACGATCGTCTTCGACTTAAAGCAGTAGGTATTGAAAATTTAGTTCCTATTTGTCATGATATTATGAACATAACACTTGAATTAACTCATCAAAAACAAGAAAGACAAAGAAAATCTCCATCGACAAATTTCCGTTGGCCAATAGTAAAACTTGATGAATTTAACCAATTAACGAAAACTAAAAAGGAATCTTTAAATCGTGCTCGTCTTCTTAATCTTATGACAATTGTGTATGAAGCTGCCTCAACAAGTGCTTCAATATCTCAACTTGTTCGTATTTGGCGTGAAGTTACTAATTGTCCCACAGTATGTCAACCTCAAACTCAACCATTAATATCTTATGAACAAGCTTTTCAACATTTAATTCATAAACCTGATAATCAGTTACTTGAAATAGCACTTCATGCTTCTCTAATAAACACTCAGAGTCAATCCGATTTACAACGATTAGGTGAGAAATTAGGTGTTAAAAAAAATCAATTTGATATGGGTTCGATTCGAAATTCAACAAAAGCTTTTCAAAGTCTAATTAAGTTCTTACGTGAACTAAAGTTAAAACAAAAAGAAGAGCTGCAAAACATTAATATAAAGAAATTACCATATAAGTCAAAAAAGAAGCAAGGCCTTTATGCAAATGTTGCAGGTACAAGATTCCGTTTAAGTAAGTCGATTTTTCTTTAGTTAATTTAAGAGAAAGCCATTGTTCTTTTCTTCTCTATCAAATTCAATTCAAAATATAATTACATCAAATAATCTGTTGTCAATTGATAATAATGAATTCTTAGCTTTCGATCTGTTGCATTCAGATATAACTATTGGAATATAATATTCTATAAATTCGGTAGATTCAGGATCGATTCGTGAGAGAATGGCATTTCTATGAAAATTATGTTGAAAGCAGCATCATTGTAGCTATAGGAAGAAAATAGTTACACAATTATTCTTTAATATAGAAAATGTAAAGGATTCGAAGAAAAAGTGAAAAAGATGGCCGTCATTAATTATGCGTGATAAAAAGCGTATCTGTATAAATTGAGTTATGTTTTTCGGCATATATCATATTGAATGAATAACGTCGATTACACTTATGACAATGAACAATATGGAACTAATGAGTTCATCTATATGAACATCTATTTTGCTTTTGGTTTCGACCTACTATATTTTGTTATAAAACATGTGATGCTGCACTTTCCTTTTCAGAAGATAGACATCAAACAGAAGACTCTTATTTTGAAATACATTGAAATTTTATTGCTTAAATTTTAGTTCGTCAAGCTGTTGATCTATCTGGTTTTTTCATAAGTCCCGATCCTGATTTTACTTGTAATTTATTGTGGAATGATTCGTTAATTTCTATGGATATCGTATCAGCACTTAAACCTTATCAAAAAGTAAATCATTTTCCAACAATGAATGAAATATCACGTAAAGATTTATTAGCTGCAAATTATGACAGGTACATTTTATTGTTCATTCTGAAGTATAACTTATCTTTTTTCATTCTAGATTATCAATTTGTGCTCCTGAGGAATATAATTTCGCTCCAAAAACATGGATATTACCTAAGGAATATAATTTATGGTATTCATATGCATCGAATAATTCGAAAAAAGATCCATCTATTTATATTGTTAAACCAATTAATGCAGCAATGGGACAAGGGTAACATGCCTTCAGATTTTCTTTTCTTTTCTTTTTTATTAAATAATATTTTATTATACAGGATTTCAATCCATTATGATTATAAAAAAATTCAACCCATAGATAATTACATCATTCAAGAATACATACGAGAACCTTATTTAATAGAAGGCTTTAAATTTGGTACAATTTCTTTATAATTAAATATTTTTTCAATATTTCTTTTTTGTTATTAAGATCTTCGCATTTATGCTTTAATAACATCCTGTGATCCACTACGTGTATTTATATTTAATAATGGTCTTGTGCGTATGAGTTCGAAAAAATATAAAATACCTAATGCAAAAAACGCAGTATATTCAATTTTTCTATCATTCATTTTTATACAAAGAAAAATGTTTTTTTTTAGTTTAATCTTTCTATGCATTTAACAAATTATTCAACCGATGAAAATGAGCTAGGTGATGATTTTGATACAGATAATGGAAAAACCAATTCACTGGAATTTTTATTTGAATATCTAAAACAACAAAAGCAAGATGTTAGTAAACTATGGAAAGAAATACAAGTAAAAGAAATACCTAAAAACAAATAACTAAATATAATTTTTCATTTTATTTTAAGAATATTGTAATAAAAACCATATTTCTTGCTGAGCCACATATACTAACAACATATCGAATGTGTCGTCCAGAAGTATTACCAACAAGTGAAAGTGTTTGTTTTGAATTACTCGGTTTTGATATATTAATTGATAAAAAATTAAAACCATGGATTATTGAGGTATGTTTTAAACGGACAGGGATGTATAAAGACCATTATTGAGCCATCCGCAGTTACTCTTCATTCATGACTTACCTAATGTAGAATTTCACAAGAAATCGTTTGATGACAAAATAATATGATTTTTCGACAATCCCGACTCTTTACTTAAATTATTGATATACACCTTTGCACCATGAATGGATGATTCATACATAGAAGGATGGCTCATGTAAACTTTCTCACACTAAGGCATTTTCTACTGATAACTATGTCGAACCACTTTTTCTATTTTTCACTTGTCTTAACAGATTTTAATTGAAAAAAGTCTAGTTTGAGTCAAAATTAATAAGATATTCGGAATCAGCGTACAAAACTAAACCGACTTATATGTGTTTCGAAGCTTTTCAAAGAACTTATTTTTTCTCGAAAAATTCAACTGGAGTTCTCCTTAGACTTCACTCAAAAATAAAAAGATTCTGATGAAAGCACCATTTTTATTATTTAATTATTTGTTCGTATTTGTTTGATAATGACGTTTTACAGATGCAGAACTTGTTTTCCATTTGATCAAATGATTTTATAATTAAAATAATTGTTTGGTTGAACTCTGAAGAGTAGGTATCCCCGTTGAGTTTTTCGAGCAAAAAAGAAGTTCGTCGAAAAACTTTGAAACATATATAAGTTGATTAGTTTTCATTCTGATTTCAAACATGTTATTAGTTTTGACTCAAATTCGACTTTTGCCAATCAAAATATATTAAAGATAAATGAAACATGCAAAAAGATGGTGTTTCAACGAAAATCAAGTCGTTTTATTTAGCAAAGACTACCTCTAAAAAACTCGAAAAGTATCTGTTTTTTGTAGTCTTTCTTTTGAGAGTTTCAAATCAATCAAAACTCCATGCTGCTTTTTTTCTATCTCTATTCGTCGAGAAAATAGTGATTAGAGATGATAATATAACTATATATGATTTTCATGCTCATTTGGAACAATATTTACGACATTATTCAACAATACTTCAACTATTTGAACTGAAATTTTTACTAAACATAAACTATAGAATAGATAGCTGATCGACATAGTTTTCAGTTGGAAATATTTTAGTGTGGGGAAGTTTACATGAACCGTCCTTCCATGTATCAACTACGTATTTATAGGACAGACGTGTATATGAATAATTTGAGTAAAAAAAGAATCTAGATCGTTGTGAAATCGGATTATTTTGTTCCCTAACGATTTCTTACGAAATTCGACATTGGTATATCATGAATGGGGGGAAACTGAGGATGGCCCAATAGATTACTCTTCAGCACTCATTTCCTTTGTTATTCGATATTTTCGTTCTGTTAAATGATTAAACTAGGTGAATCGATGTCCAAGTTTTGATGTTAATCGACAAGTTGAATTTGATATTAAAATTAAATTATTATATGAAACATTTGATTTACTTCGTTTTCGACAATCTGATCGAAAGAAAAGTATTGCTATTGAAAAAGTTGAAGCACAACGTCGATTGTATTCAAGTATAGGAAGAGATATAAATGATCAAACTAATGAATTAAATAAAATGGTATCAATATATATTTTTATTTGAAATTTTTATTTTAATGTATTTTTGGTTTAAATAGAAAGAAATTTTGTATCTTCTTCGACGAGAAAAAGAACGTGAACGTTTTGAAAATCGTCATTCAGGTGGTTTTATTCGTTTATTTCCAATTAATGATCAATATCGAATGAATGAATTAATGAATATTTTAACAAAATGTTTTCAAGTTTTATATACAAATAAAAATGATTCTTCATGGACTATGAAATATTATAATCAATATAATGAAGAAGAAATATTACGTATAATAATTCGATTAGAAGATATTTATCAAAAAGATCGACAAGAGAGTTCAAGATTAACTTATGTAAAGTTTAATTTCAAACATTGAATCATATTTACGCATCTCATGTAGAAAAAAATCATTCGGGACATACATAGTTAGGCTCCTATTCAGTAATGTTTCTCAACGAGTTTGTACAAATTCTTATTTCCTTGATGATTTACATCGAACAATATTACGATCGTTTAGTTATTACACTTACGAAGAAAGTCCTACAACTGATTCATCACTTTTGAGCTGGGACAATGTACGTAATGTAAATTCTAATAAGTGATTAATATTCTGAGAAGAGTTCAATTTGTTAGATGATTATTGCCAAGATGCTGCATTTCTATAGTATTTTGTCAATCGAAGTCGTAGTACCCATTAGAAACATCGAAAAAAAATGATTTTTGAATGTCAACTTGAAATTTTGCACAAAGCTTTTATACGGAATAATTTATTGTGAAAGTCTCAGGTCTTTTTGTTCTTTCTATCTTAGGACATTGCTATGGTAAAAGCGTGTCTTTGACATCATTCATATACACTGGTGGATTCAATGCTCTCATGTCAGGATAAGAGCAAATCAAAATACATAAAATTTTTACAATAAAATATTCTTTATAACACCTATACCGGCCTTTTTACGATGTTCTCAATTGATACCACGGCTTTCATTAACAAATACTGTAAAAATGTAGTATCTCATCAGTAATAAGCTAACAGATTGAAGTCTTTTCATGTTAGTTATAACTCATGAGGGTCTATGTGATGTACATTGTTCCGATTCAAAAGCGATTAATCTGTTTGGAAACTGCTTTCATTAGCGAGAAATTGAACTATATGAATGCTGTTTATATTAGTGTATGAACTTGCAAGTTGGACATAGATTTTTAATTTATTCATATCAATAGTTTCAAATTTATCGTAAAATTGAACGAAAAAAATATGCTTTTTAAACAAAAATAATTCGAAGAATATAGTTCTATAATTATTTATCATCGTTAAACTGCATAACGATTGCATCATGAATAATAGTTGTCTTGTGTATTGATGAATAAATCTTTTTCAGTATTCCTTAAGGCAAGACTTTTTGATTTTGATCAAGAAAATCTTGCTGCAGTTCTCTAGAAATCTATAAAGGGTGTCTTATAAATTTTGATTCTCTTCAACTAATACTTCTTTGTTATATGTGTTTTTGGTAGAATAGGCTAACATTCACAGCATATATACTAGACATCTAGATCTACTCTACGCTAGAATTTCAGCTTTCTATCTATTATAGTCATAGTGATACCAGTAACTTACAATTTATAGGAGTTTTTTGAAATAACTAACGAGTGATCCAGAATAAATGACTGCGTTTTGTATTTTATTTTCTTATCATCTAACGCATTACATTAAAAAACAGAATATACAACAAGATGCAGCGTAAAAAGTTCTACAACCTACATAATGAAGCTTGTTTTAATTGTGTACCTTTTGTTTCCAAAAAATTGCAATAAATTTCAAGTTACTTATGTCTCTGTGACTATAATAGGTAGAAAGCTGAAATTCGAGTGTAGAACAGATTTAGATGTCTAGTATACATACTGTGAATATTAGTCTATTCAAACCGAAAACATTTATAACAAAGGAGTACTATTCGAAGGGAATCAAACCTTATCAGACACCCTTTATCTAACATACTAAGATAATAATTCTTATGAAAAATTATGCTTCTTCATTTTCTGATGCAACACGATTAACCAATACCACATAAAATTATTTAAAAAATATTGTCTTAGTACCCATTACTAAAATTCATTGAATAGTTTTACTCGAATGATTTTGTAGTGTCTTATGTTAGCAAGAAACGAGAATGTCGTTCTGCAAGGCATCTGATTCTTTCTCCTCTAATATTTCAAAATAAAACCGATGAATATTGACTGATAACATTATTTCGAAGTCATTTTTGATATTTTGTAGAAATAATTTTGTCTATTTAGACATCCAATCGCAGTCTTGAATTAAATCACTTGTCACCTTTGACTAGTTTTGTATTTGAAGCAAGCGATGATGAGAATGAACTTCAATTAAATTCATCAAGTTCTGATAAAATTAAAAAATCTCTATCATCAACAAGTGATCCATTTATAAAAAAAGTATCAACACAAACATCATCAAATATCCTTCGATCAAGCTCATTATCATCGTTAAACACTCCAAAACAACAATCAAACGCACTTGTTCTCACAGGTGATATTAGTCAATCACGAGCAGACTCATATGCAATGCCACCAGGTGTATCAGCTCAACGAATAACAGAAAAAAAGGCTTACTCTACATTATCAGCATCATCAAAAAATATTGATCAACAACTACCTCGCTCACCAAAAACTACAAAAACTCATGATGATAAATCTCAAATGGTTACATATTCATCTATTGTACAAGCAACTCGACGACAACAATTAAATAATCAATCAAAAGCAGTTGAAATCACAAATGTATTTTTAAAAAAAATTCTTAATTTTATCTTTTTTCATAATTTTTTTTTATTAGGAACTTCAATTAACTGATAATGAATTAAATCGTTTATATCAATTAATACTTGATCAAATGAATAAATTACGTATTCATTATCCAAACAAATCAGATAAAGAAACAAATCAAATTTGTATTGAGGTTTGTTTGATTTCGAATTCAAATTTTGTCAAATTCATTTATTAAAAAAAAAACTAGATCATCGAAAATTGGAATAGATATAAACCCGATATCGGTCGATATTGGTTAGTTGAATTCGATGCAAATAAAAGACAATCCATTATTGATATTGTTTGGAATAATGTACAACAAATAACTAGAAAAGTGTGCATTCTTGATGAACTTGTTCAACAATTACCATTAAATCGTCATTTAATAAAATTACAACGACGTTTATTAGCTAATCATGGACAATGTTTATGGGATACATGTCAAAATAAACATAAGTAATTGTATTACAGATTCATATAGTTCTTTAATAGGTGAACGATGAGCACAGGAATGATAAGCTCACGGAAAGTTCAGCGTCGAAAAGTCATGCACGCCTAAAAATAAAGGTGAACATGATGTTCAGTGAAAGGATAGGTGCCAGATGCAAGAGAGTGAAAGTGCAGAGAAGATTCACATCCGTACCTGTCCGTATCCTAGAAATAAATTCTAGTCAACCACCGAAGAGCAACAAAAATATCAACATTTCGACAAACATTTTTTAAATTTTATTTCCATACCCATGTGATTCGAACTGGAATAAAAAACGTCAGATAATGCGAAAGATGAAGCTCTGACCTTTGAATTCCGATAAATGGACTTCCGATACTCTAGCCTTCTATAGGTGGATCTTGTGAAAACAATAAAATAGAAATATAGCCTATATAGTTTGATACATTTGCAAGTAGTATCCTTGAATAGAGTGTGAATGTGGGATGTGTGTGAAGAAAAGATTTATATCTACCTCCTCTTCATGTTGTTAATTTGTTAGGCTCAAATAGCACAAGGCTGAAATATCGAAGGCTCAAATCTGGGAAACTCTTATGTGAGGATGACGGTATTAACTGTTAGTTGTGAAAACCAATGTTACATCAGCAAACAATAGGCGATAGTTTGATACTGAAAGGTCGTCTATTTTCTGACTACCATTCTACCTCAGTATACTGATAGTTGTTTTCTAAACGGCAATCTATTGCTGGTATACCCATGGCGGAGCGAAAAAACGTGCGATATAGTTACCTTATTCAGGTATTTTAAGTTAAATTGAATCAATCGCGCAAAATATTTCATTGTATTATTTTTGTTCATATTTGTGTTTTGTTAAAAATAATAATAATTATTCATTGATCGTTCAGTAGACTTGATATTTACGTTGATGTTTTCTCGTGTTTAAGTTTTTGTGCTCATCGTTCTGGTTTTCATTTTTTATATTTGCGTTTTCTTCTCTTCAATAGTTCATGGGAATCATTATTTATGAAAAGTACAAATCATTTGTCGAACATTGAATTAGATTGTTGTTATCGTTTTGTTGATTTGTGTAAAGAAGCTTTATTTATTGTTTATCGATATTCAATTGATGAAAAAATCTATCAACAAAAACAAATTGATCGAGGATTAACAGTAATGGTTAAATCTTAAAATATACATGATTATTTATTGTTTTCATCTGTTCTTTTTTCATCTGATATATTTTTTATGTGAATAAAGGGATTTATTGGGGTTAGCTTTGCTTTTATTTTTCAAGGGAATAGACAACAAAAAGTATTTATATTTATCATTGTTAATATTCAAATGTAATAAATACAAAAGATAAGAGAAGTAAGATATTTCAAAAAAAAAACTGAGAGATAAAGTATAGTTGAATTTATAAAAAAATGTATAGCTTAAAACTTCGTTTTTTTCCTGATTATATAGATCGTAAATGAATGGTTCTTCGTATATATGCAATGTCGCTGTGAAGCTTTGTTAATTTATACATGTCCAATACTTTTAATATATTCATTGTATCAGATATCTTTCAATGTAGTTCTTATGTTATATCAAAAAAATACTTGTCTTAAAAAACTAGTTTATAGGTTAGATTTAGCCTTGATACATAATGATTAAACTAAGATTTGTTGATATAGTTATCGTATGAGACTTACATCATCAACCTTCATAATGTTTTGTTTTGTGCAGTCATAAAGATATTCTGATAGACTAGTACACGAAATATCAAGGACTATGAAATAAAGATAAGACTGTGATTAGGAACGTGTCTATGATTGACATTTGTGTACTTCGATTGATGTACCTAGTAAAATGAAATATATTTACGTTTTTACTAATTTGACATTGACGAATTCTTTTAACAGAACATCTATAAAATCAAAAGTTCATTTAATTTATAAGATTTTGCAAACAAGATAAAGACGTGAGTGTTTCATAATTGAATAAAATTTTAAAAATAAACTTGTAAAATATTACAGAAAGGCTATCCAATATATATTCGACGTCTGTATCAATGTCTTTCAAAGTTGAATATCGAGATATAAGCACCTTTTCAATTTAATATACACTGTTAACTAAATTGTGCTCTTTTAAATGATGCAAACTTCGTGTTTGTATATGAAAAAAAAATTACCAATGCAAAGGTAATATAGAAATCGTTTATGCTGTCATATACTCATATTCAAAATCTTATATCAATATTCAAACTAAAAAAGACGATATCAAGCGTATCGTTCTTGATTTCGTCCATATCCACTGTCATTGAAACGAAAAAAAAAAAATACAAAAGAATAATGATAACCAGACATGTATGTATATTCAATCATTTTCCGTTTGATCAATTTTCACCTTGATCTTTTTTTTTCTATTGGTAATGCAAAGATATCAACACCTTCTTTTCTATTAAGTATTATATAAAGACACATGATTTGACCATATTCATACGATTCGTATATACGTAAAATGTTTGATTATTATCAATCTGATCCATATGTACTGTCAAGTGTATGTCCATATTCTTGTGGACTTGTTCAATTTGCTTTACGAATAGGTGGAACAATTGATCCAGATTTTTTAAATCAATGTCAAATAATGGATCCCAAATTTCAAAACGCTATCGATGGATTAAAATCGATACCATTGAAATTCGAAGCACCATCAGAATCTTATGGTTACCAAGAAGATATTTATCTCGATATGGATGCGCGTAATGCAAAAGATTTTTATAATGCATGGGATTTTAAAGAGTACAATTCATGGTTGGGAACTACTGATCAATGGGAGTCAATGGAAGATGTTGATAATGATATTGTTATTGATTTCATGTGAATAGATAATGAGAAGAAATGTTAGCTTTTTTCTCGTCATAATTGCATTGATTAAATTACTTTCTTTGTCATAATATTTCATAATATAAAATAAATTTTTTTAATTAACTATATCTTTCTTATATGATATGGTTCAATAAATATCGCATGTGATACATGATCAGTTGACCGTAAAAATGTCGAAAGAGCAACGGGGGAAAAATATTGCAAGGAACAAAAGTTGAAAAGTGTTTTAGAACATTTTGACTAGCAAAGGACATACTTAATTGTATGGGCTAATGTTAACATTCTCACAGAGATCAAACATAAATCAAGAGATAAAGAAGAAAACAGCTAATAAAGTATTATTTTTTCTCGTTTAGCAACTATAAATGATAGACTATCTAAGCATTTATAATACTGTCATAATATCGTTCATCAAGATTGTGAGAATGACGTTGAATTGGAATTGCTTTGGCTTTCTTTGGTCTTACTCTTAGGCATATATTATTATATTGAATACACATATATATGCTAATCATTCAAATTTGTATGAACTCTTGCTGAATATTTATTACGTGTACACTTTCAATATTTGATGGTTGTTGTTTTATGTAATTAAAAACATATTCATCAGCTATGAGTAAATTTTTTCCTTGTTGTGGATGTATAAATGAAATAGCTAGCGATTTTTGTTGAATTAAATCTGGTGAAGATGGAGGAGCTGTAGGCATGGCAATAAAATTTCAGTTATATAATAGTTCTTCGTCGAACTCTTTTAATTAATCTATATGAGGTACTAATTATCATCATAACTACTGGTTGAAAATCTAGACAAGTAGAATTATAAAAAACAAAGCAAGCATAAACTATAAGTGTTTAAAGTCACCATTTACTGGAGACATTACTTTTTTCAATATTGCCCTGTTTCGATATTTTTTCAGCACACACTATAATCGTGTATTCAAACTTAATATTTTTTCTATGCGAATGTAGAATGAATAGAAATCGAAGACATAAGAATCTAACCGGAAAATAAAGAAATTGTTTATTGAGTATTTTTTAAAAACATTTTATTTTGAGAAATTTGTTCAATAGGTAAAAGTAATCCATTGATCATTTCATCAATAACTCTTCCATTATCTCGTGATTGAATAGTAAATAATATTTGATCAAACATAGTCATATAACAATAAAGTTCTAATAAATTCCATTCATCATCTGTTAATAACATATTCCGTGCATTTTGATATTCCATTAAAAATTCTTTAGCATAATCTGTATTAAATTTTGACCCACATGAACACCAAAAACATAACGTCGTAGCAATATCTATAAGAAAAGGACCAAATGACAGGTCATCAAAATCAAGCACTGCAGCGATTTTGTTTTGATTATGATAAAACAGAACGTTTTCATCATGAATATCAATATGTAGAAAACCTTTGGGAAGATCTTTTTCAAAATTTTCTTCAAATCTTATTTGTTCAAGTTCATCTTCGATTAGTGGAATTGAATGTGTATGTTCATCAAGTATTTGACGTATTCGTTTATATAAATTTGGATAATCTTTTTCAAACTCACAACATGAATTTACGAGTTGATACTTAGTATCAACAATCTTAATTCTTCGACGATTAAATGTAAAACCAAAATTATGTTTATCAATTGAATGCATTCGACCAAGAAACTGACTAATTTCTATTGTTTGCCATAGTTGACGAACAGGATTCTTCGATGTATTAATATATTTAATCCCATCAATAAATGAAAACATCGTACAATAATCTCCATTATTAATTACAAAAATCCCCGACGGATCAATCATTGGTACAACTGGAAGATGATATTGTTTAAGATATGAAATAAAATTTAATTCAACTCGAATATCTTCGTGTACAATTGTTCGCTGTTGACTTGGAAGATACTCTCGAAGAATATAAATTTTTTCATTTGATTTTATATGAAATTTTAATGTCAAGTTTGTCCATCCATCAGTTATTTGTTCAATTGATGAAAATGAAAGCTCACCTAATGAATATTTATTTAATATTGAAGCGAGTTCTTCTTTTGTAATCATCTGCAAAGTATGTATTTCAAGATGCAATCTTTTTCAATAACGCCATCTATCAAAATTATAATACTAAATTTAATAAGGAATCTATTGATATATGCTTGAAAAAATATGTAAGTATTGCCAATTTTACTTTTTTAAAAATAAACATAACAATGATTGGTGGTTAGTTTCATAGGATATGAGTCATATGTTTTTTGCCTCATCATGTATATTATGCACGATTGTTAATGAGCAATGAAAGATAGCAAACATCTCAAATGGTTCTTCTCAACTTTTAATAGATATTTTGACTACTATTTGACTTGATATTTTAGATTTGAATCGAAAATGAAAATTTTAATAACGATAAGAAAAATGCTGCATATGAGTGACTAGAAAATGCTCTTAATAATGGATGATAGTCTTGTGTTATTTACCCTTACACTTGTTTATTAACCTGCTGACGAGATCAAATAAAAATACGATATTATCAATAAAATACATTAGATACTATGTATTAATAGTGTTTCTACATCACTAAATTTAGATTCAGTCAAAATGCAGTATACAATGATTGAAACATACTTAATCTTAATCGATGTACGAAAATGTTGCTTGTAGAACAAGAAAATATTAAACTATGCTTAATAATATTCATAACAATGATATTATATGCTTATCAATATTTAGTTTAGTCAATAATTCAATCTTCGATATGATTAAGATATTTTATTAGAATTTGTTTCAAACATTACATCAAATCTTGTTTCTTATAGAAAGAAATTTTATTTTTAAAAAGATATTTCTTTCAGACTTTGTTACTCAATATTGATATGGTTATTGAGCATATACACCAAATATATCTGAACGATTGTCTTTCACTCTGCATTGATTATATCTTCACATGCAAGTTAGATATGGTTCTAAAGCAAAAAAATCAGTTCCACATGTTAGACGAAAATTACTTACAATAAATAGTCATACTAGACAAATCACATGATATGCATATGCTGATACAATATTGCAAGCAATAGTCTGTGTTGCAATGATTAAATGTCAATCAACAATAATTTTTCATGAATATTTTCATATTAGTTATAAAAAATAATGATAAACTTCAAGTATCAAATAAATCAAAAACGTGTACTGTTCTTTGAAAAAATTCCTTTGATTAAATTCGATAAAAAGAAAGGAAAAATTACTTATTTTAGATAACAAATGTCAAGCTTTGCATTTATTTTTGATATAATTTTTTCATGTATTATAACACTTATATTTCTTTATCGTTGTGGTAATTATCGTCGACAACATCCAATAACAACTGGTGTTGTATTTATTGCATGGTTTTTTTCAGTTCTTATGGTTTTTATTCTTCCACTTGATATTTCACTTGTGTGAAAAATAACTCTTTTTTAAAATTTGATTTGTTATTATTATTAATTTTAGGCAACCTATCGTGATTGTTCATCAAATGCAACAACAGTAAAGCCAATACTTAATGGTTCAATTGCAGTAAAGATTGATTTTCATGCGAGAAAAAATATAAAATGTAGAATATTTGTAGAATAAGTCATCCGATGATGTATGTCCTCGGCCATGGTCTTATGTCAATCCTCACTCATATGTGGTTTTATGGCGTATTGTTTATTGGACATCACAAGTTCTTACTTGGTATTAGATTAAAAAATGATTAAAATAGAAAATTAATTTTATTGTTTTTTTTAAGGCTTATTTTACCATTAATGCAATCGTTTTGTGAAACAGGTTTATAATAATTCGATCGTTTTGTTTATATAGCTCGTTTTGTATTTGAAATCTTTTTAGGAGAATTTTCTATTAAAGGAAAAATTAAATATGCTATTAAAGCAAATTTAATTTTTTATGGAACGCTTTTAATTATATTTGTTATTCTTATTATTTATGTAGCAACCAAAGTGACATTAAATTCATCAAATTTTACGGTAAAATAACTTTGGAAACTTAATTAGTGAGGAATCGATTAGAAAATTTAACATATCATATTCTCTTTCTATGGTTGTTAGTGAAGAAGCAATGAAAAAACATTGTCTTCAAAATCTTCAATAAAGTTGACATAGAGGTTGTAAGTCAGTGTCTATTATGGTATGTGTAATGAATTATTTAAAAATAGCGAGATTTGACGAAGAAGTGCAATCCGAGATATTTTACTAAAGTCATCAGGAGCAAACACTTCATTTTATATTAGCGGTGAAATCAGAGAGGGGGACGAAGCTGAGCTCCTCCTACTTCAAATATTTTCTGGCTCCACCAGTATTTTATACTTGTGATGCATCACTGCAAAAACATGCCTTTTTCCTCATTGATATGATCACAAGGGGTGGAAGAGGTAAGATTGGATAATTATATGATCGGATCTTATCGAAAACATGTATTGTATATTTTTTGAATATAATTGTGATCAATTATTGGAATAGAAAACAACAGTCAGCTTCAACAAGGAGTCGATAATTCAAAATCTGAGTAACATTTTCTTCTTGGTGTTTTTTCTCATAGTTGGATAGAGTTCATCGATTTACCTTTCAACATTTTGTTTTTGAAGCGAAACTTCGGAAAATTAACTTTCAAAAATCTGGAAAGCCTATAAAAAATTGAAGTGCGCCGATAGTATCAAGTCTCGGTAATCTCAGCATTTATCCAAATATTCTTCTGATATTACTAGTCATATGGTTAGGAAAAAAACGATGCGTGGTTTTAGAAAAATATTGTTCCATTGTTGAGAAAATCATTTTTTTTTCTATATGATAGCAAAACGCTATACCATTGGTTTCTATTCAGAGATTTCAAGTAGCAAAATGTTAGCTTCAGATTAAACGACCATTATATTCCTAATCAACATAAATATCTGCATCAAATAGCATAGTCAATACTAAAAACTAATTTTTATCAAAGTCTAACCTTAGGGAAACTACAGGTCAAATTATTTGAGAATAATAGTGAGAGGGGTATAAGGATTGAAATTTGACGAAAACTAGTTTCAAATGTTGAGTACATCGTTTGATGCAGACTTTTATGCTGATTCTGAATATGATGTTCGTTTTATTCGGAACTGAATTTCTGATATTTGAAATCTCTGAAAGAGAACCCGTGCTGATGGCATTTGTTGTCATATCGAAAAAATCGATCTTCTCAAAAATGAAACAATATCTTTCAACCATCAAGCATAATTTTTTCCTCACCATATAACGAGTAATATTTTTTTTTAAATTTCAATAAATATTGGAACTACGAAGACTTAATGCTGTTGATGTACTTCAATTTTTACAGGCTTCTCAGAGTTTTGAAAGGTAAGTTTTCAAAACTTCTCTATCAAAATATTGCTGAAATATGTCACAAGTATGATTTTCAGAGGTTACTTGATGAGATCCTTCTAACCATGAGAAAAAACTCCAAAAAAGAATAGCTCAGATTTCCGATTCTTTGGCATCGTCCCAACTGTTTCTTATTAGAGCAAAGTTAAATTTATCTGTCAAATATGGATTATTTGCTTTTTTACTGTCAATCAATTATGATTTGAGAAGTGGAAATTTTTCGATTGAAACATGCACTCGGAGAGTTGTTGTAGAAGTTCTATCTTGGATTAAAATGAGAAATATAGAAATTCAATATGACAAGAATACCCTTGTGAGCGTCATAAAATCGCCCATAGTCATAAATTAATAACATATTGACCAGCTTCACCATTCAACTCTTGACACATAATCAATATTTCATCTCAATTCTAAAAAGGTCAAATAATTGATGATATCATTTCGAAATAACCCTTGCTGTATATATCGATATATGATAAACTAAACAAACAGAGTGTTCAATTATTAAATATAAACTAATTAATTGATTTAATTATAGGCAACAATAGTAGCAGCAAGTACAACATGGGGCCTTTTTCTTCTTGTTTTAATGCTTGGTTATGGTCTTGTTGAAGTTCCCTTAAATATATATAATCATTCTAGAACAGCATATATGCTCTCACATACGCAATTCAAATTAGCTAAAATTTATGATGAAAAAATTAATGTAGAAGAACGTTTAGATTCTCTTGTTGATGATGTTACAAAATCTTGTATGGAAATAAAAACCAATGATCCATTAAGACGTGATCTGGAACAAATAATTAAAATTGTTCCTGAACAATATTCAAATCGAATTAAATTAACAATGGAAGATTATGAAAATAATCGAATAGCAATAGCAAATCGTTTTTCTAATTCAGAAACAGAAAAACAATTAATTAAGTTACACGAGCGTTTAAAAAAATATATTCATGTTCATCATCGTGTCCAAGTATTATGGACAAGAACGATTAACGAAGCTTTTTATTTAGAAGATATTCTTAATAATGAGCAAAATACTAATCATGAATTTATTAAACAAAATCCACATCCATCATCATGGTTACGAAAGAAATTATTTGATCAACATACTAAATTCGGTAAATATTTCAATTTTTAATTAGTGCGTGAAAATCTCTATACGATTTAAAATACACTGATATTTATGTCAAATACTAAGTTTTATTTTAACATTCAATTAACTCAGATGAAAAGTTCTTGATCAGAATCAATTTCAATTCTAAAACAGGTTTTTTTCGTTATAGATAGATTGTTATGTGATTTTTTCCGACACAGTTGAATGATGAGAAAGATATAAAATATTTCATCGAGAAAAAAAACTGTCAACAACTTTTGTTGACTGTGTCAATCCGAACATGGAAATTATGCTCAGAACTAAAATCAAGTTTCAATTAAAATATTTTGTTCAATCTGATGACGAAACTATCCGAACTGATATCCAGTATTTGAGTTTATACTGAGTTCACAAAGATATCTCGATAAGATTAGAAATATCCGAAAAAAGCGGTCGTGCCCATGGCTCTTAGGAGTTGAGTTATGACCATTTTATTTAGTTTACGATTCAGCTTTAGATTTTTATCGAAAAATTAAATAGCATAATTTACACCTCAGATTTTGTCCATAGATAGTAGATAG